GTCAAGAGGCTAAATTGTACAATGATCGGTTAAGGGAGCCTATCAAAGAGAAAGATTAGGGGTGACATGAGACCTGTCTTCCAGTACTTGAGGGACAGTCATATAGAGGAGTTGACTTATTCTCAGAAGCACCTAAGGACTAGACAAGAAGAAATGCCTGGAAGCTATTTAAAGTGAGATCCTATCTGAAACTAAGAAATTTCTAGATAGTGAGAGCTATTAATTAATCAATGGAATAGCTTGCCTGTCAGACTGGTAGGTGCTCCATCACTGGAGAACCGAGGTGGCGCAGTGGTTAGAGTGCAGCACTGCAGGCTACTTTAGCTGACTGCTACTTCGGCAGTTCAGCGGTTCAAATCTCACCGGCTCAGAGTTGACTCAGCCTTCCATCCTTCCGAGGTGGGTAAAATGAGGACCCGGATTGTTGTTGGGGGNCCCCCCCCCGACTTCCCAGAGCCCGTACACGGTATAGCTTTTTATCAAACACAGTCTAAAATATGCTTAAAACTGAGAGGGGAAGCAGTTAGACAGATCTAAGGGTGCGAGATGAAAACGGAAGAGTTTTAAAAAATGAGGCTCATGCCATTTGTGCTGCAGTTGGGATGACGTATTATTTGATTGGGATGGTAACAATACCAGTCTGATTTTTTTCATAGTGTGGCATTGCCAACTTCTCCTCTTGATGGTTTTTTTTTTCCCTTCCTTCCATTCAATCATGTCCGATACGCAGAGACTGCCTGGACCAGTTCCTACAGTTTGCTTGTCAGAGGTTTTCCAAAAGTTTTTCATTGCCTCCTTCCTAGGCTGAAAGAAGGTGACTGGCCCAGGGGCTTTGTGCCTAAGGCGGAACTAGAACTTGGGGTCTAGCCTGGTGCCTTAATCACGAGACTCAACTGGATTGACACTCTTAACATTATCAGTCGTTGTGTGCTTTGATAATAAGCCTGAAACTACTGCATGTGGCAGTAGTTTGTGGCACTGTGATTAGAAAGCAGTATGGCAAGGTAGCTGATCATTGCCAGGAGTTCAATCTTGACCAGCTCAAGGTTGACTCAGCCTTCCATCCTTCCGAGGTGGGTAAAATGAGGACCCAAATTGTTGGGGACAATAGGCTGAATCTGTAAGCTGCTTAGAGAGGATTATAAAGCACTATGAAGTAGTATATGTCAAAATGCTATTGCTATTGCTACTGTAAGTTTTTTTTGAATATAGGAGAGTAGAGCCAAGTCTGTTTTATGGTGAATTGTTTTCATTCTAGGTACTAGAAATGACTCGCAGACATGAAATTTGATAGGGTATAAATCAAGTTAATACTTAGGTGAAATGTATTGTGGCAACTTATATTTGATGAGTCAGATAGCATTTCTTGTATGGAATTTGAATTTTGAAAAAAAATATTGCTCTACCAAATTCAGTAAAACACAGCATTGCTCCAAATGACCTACTACGTTTTTAAAACCATGAAGTGCTACAGGGAGAGGAAGATGAAACCATTAGGGATTGCTGTTGTAAGTGTGAAAATGATCATGTCTCTTTTTTCAGTGCCGTTGTAACTTCAAACGGTCCCTTAATGAGCTTTTGTAAGTCGAAGAATACCTGTACCTTTTGCTTAATTGAGCTCACCAGATGTTTAAGAAAAACTGGGCGAGGGAGCAGCCAGCTTAAAGCCCATTGAAAAGAGTCGAGGTATACACAATTATCATGCTAGGTGAATGCAGAGCCAACTCACCAGAGAATAGGGAAAACAGGAAAATGGATCTGTGACCTGAAGTGCAATTGCTTTCTGAATCTCTAGTAGTCTTCAATGATAAGCCCTGCATTTTTTAAAATTGTGGGTGCTCCAGAAATTGTCATCAATTTCTAGAAAGTACCTATTTCCCTGACTTTGCTTCTTCCTCATATGATAGATATCTTTGAGAATCTTCAACCTCATTTTTATTTCCGTTTTCATGGGTTGAATTCATACGATAGGTAAAAGGTAATGGTTGCATATGTGTACTAGTTGTTCCTGACTCTAGGGGGCGGTGCTCTTCTCTGTTTCAAAGCCAAAGAGCCAGCGCTGTCTGAAGACGTCTCCGTGGTCATGTGGCTGGCATGATTAAATGCCAAAGGCACACGGAAGACTGTTACCTTCCCACCAAAGGTGGTTCCTATTTTTCTACTTGCATTTTTACATGCTTTCAAACTACTAGGTTGGCAGAAGCTGGGACACGTAGCAGAAGCTCACTTCATTACGCAACACTAGGGATTTCAACCGCCGAACTGCTGATCGACAAGCTCAGCGTCTTAGCCACTGAGCCACCATGTTCCTTCATATGATATATTAAGCTATAAATTGTGGCTTACTAACCATAGTGGCTGAATTCATACATGCCTAACTTTCTAAAATGGTGCATTTCCCTTCTCTTTTTGACAACTGGAAGCCTTCTGATTCAATCTTTGTGTTATATGGCTCGAGATGCATCTTCATCTTCATTTACATGGGGAAAGTAGTAATAAAGGCAATTCTATAGAGTTCATCAAGCCTGAATATTTTGAACAAAAAGTGTAAACTTGTGGGATTGCGCCAGGAACATTCTGCAAACAATAATGTTTTGAGAAGCAAACTATGGCCCTAATTTTCATGAGAAACAGTTCTCCCCTTACTTTATGTTTCCTTTTAAATTCTACAGATGTCAGGCCTGCAGCAGTTCCTTTAAGCCAGTGTTTTTCAACCACTGTGCCGCGGCACACTAGTGTGCCGTGACATAGTGTAAGGTGTGCCGTGGGAAAAACACTTTATATATAGTCAATATAGGCACAGAGTTAAATTTTTTTAACATTTTCTAATGGTGGTGTGCCTTGTGATTTTTTTCATGAAAAAAGTGTGCCTTTGCACAAAAAAGGTTGAAAAACACTGCTTTAAGAATCTTTGGCCTGCCACACTCTCATTAAGGGGGGGGGGGATAGCAAGGGGTAGAATGTGTTGTTTTCAAAATAAAAAAAATCCTTTCTAGAAGCTCAAGATTATCTTTTGTCTCCGCACCTTTGCACCTGACCGGAAGCAGTTGGGCGTAGGTGCTAGCATGGAAGAAGAAGATTGGACCATGTGATGGATTATGGGTGTGGGGACAAGATCATGAACTTTTAACTGGGTGGGATTCTGATGTAATTTCCAGAATTGGGATTCCATAGCAATGTGCTAAGATGTCTCCTTTATTAAATTGGAACTTTAAGGAAAGTTTTGCCTTGGACTCTGATTTAATTCTACATGATACTTGGAACACTGACAACAGACTTATGATTCTGCTATGCATTAAGCTCTCTGAAATCTTGAGTTTCAACCTGGCACTTGAACAAAGTTATCATCTTTTCTAATGTTCATTAAACAATGTGCTCATCAATAATAATTTCTCCTTCTTGCCGCCAGTGGTATTTGTGACTTCTTGGTTTCTCCCCACATCCTCCCAAAGAGCAACTCTCTCTTTCTTGCCATATTGCAAAACAGGCCTGTTTCTTTAATAATTGTATTAGTGGTCACAGAATAGAATCTTCTCCTATAGTTGCCCATTAACTATGCAATCTGTTACACATGAAGAGTGGAGATTGAATTTGTAGCCCCCTCCTCCCCCTTCAATCCCTCCTCCTCTTGTTCGCTTTAGTCAAACCAAGTTTGAACCAAAGTTTCTTTCTATATTGTGGATATATGAATCTCCTTTTTTGGTGTATGCAAACCGATTCACTTCATGAGGATGGCTTATCTTAATTTTCCATTCAAGATGTGGAATGTAATACTGAAGGGTTGTTGCTGCTGTTGTTTTTACATTACACATCCATTAATTTTATCTTTTTTAAAAAAAAAAGAGAGCCAACACATGCAAAGGAACTCTATTCCTTCTTGTGCCTTATCTGCCTTCATCTATGTTAATCTAAGTAGTCTAAGGAAATTGTTTTCCCATTCTATTGTTTCATAAACATTTCTATGATGTGGGTATGTTTACTGTCCCAGCTGAAAAAAGAGGATTTGAAAAATTACTCAGTAGGAGAGACATTTCAATTATAAATCCCATTGAGGAAACCTTTTTTTTATATTGAGGGCTGCATTCTTTTGGATGTATTCGATAAAAGGCTGCATGTTGGTTTATGATGAAGCATCAGAGCTTGGCAGAATAACTGAATAACAACAGTGGAAGGGACCTTGGAGGCCTTCTAGTCCAACCCCTTGCGCAAGCAGGAGACTATACCATTTCAAACAAATGGCTATCCAGTCTCTTCTTAAAATCCTCCAGTGTTGGAGCACTCACAACTTCTGGAGACAAGTCATTCCACTGATTAGTTATTCTAATAGCCAAAAAAATCCTCCCTAGTTCTAAGATGGTTCTCTCCCTGATTAGTTTCCACCCATTGCTGCTTGTTCTGCCCTCAGGTGCTTTGGAGAATAGGTTGACTCCCACTTCTTTGTGGCTGCCCCTGAGATATTGGAAGACTGCTATCATGTCCCTCCTAGTCCTTCTTTTCATTAAACTAGACATACCCAGTTCCTGCAACCATTCTTCATATGTTTTGGCCTCCAGTCCCCTCTGTTCTTTTTAATATTCCCTTTCCTAGTCTATAAAATAGGAACCATCCTACAATATCAGAGGTGTCAAACTCAAGGCCCATGGGCTGGATCTGGCCTGCTGGGTGCTTAGATGTGGCCCTGAGGGCCATCCTGGAAACAGCAAAGGACCAGGAACTGATCTACAACCCGGTGGAAGCTGGCAACGTGCTGGAGGAGGCCGTGGCAGCTGAAAACGGAGCTTGGGAGGGGCGCCCGTGGCCCTTCTGAGCTCCATTTTCACTGGCAGAGTGCTAGCAAAACAAACTACCAGCAAAAGTGGCATTTGATCACAGGGTAAGGAGGCATCGAGAAATGTTTTCCCTTTTGCATTTGCATTTCCGTACCCAACCTGGCCTCCTGAGGTCAGACACCACCTTGACGTGGCCCTCAATGAAATTGAGTTTTGACACCTCTGTACAAGATGGAACTTCTACAGGGCACCAGGTTGAAGAAAGCTGTTCCACCATCCCAGGCTGTAATGGCTGCAGCACCAAGGACCTCCATCTCTTGGATTGTGACTAGCTGCTTCAATCCCAGCTAACGTTGCTTGTGTCTTTTCCTAGATTAACCTCAGCAAAGTAGGTGAATACTGGTGGAGTGCCGTTTTGGAAGGAGAAGAGCAGATCGACATCGATAAAATCAACAAGGAGCGCTCCATGGCCACGGTGGACGAAGAGGAACATGCAGTGCTGGACAGGCTGTCTTTTGATTATCATCAGAAGCTTCAAGGCAAACCCCAGAGCCATGAAATGGTACGTTTCATAACCCTCCACTGCCCTATGCTAACGTGGAAAAACCATTACGGTTTGCTGATTGTTCCTTGTTGCTATTGGAGATGGTTGTTTTCTTTTTTTTTTTTTTTTTTAAAAGCTTAATATTGGGTCTTACCATTATAGGTTGGTTTTTTTAGCTGAACCGCGAAATAAAATGGATATTTGGCAGTATTCTTTCTTAAAGGGCTATTAGAGGGTAAACCCCATTCACAGCTGTCTATGCGAATTACCATGATGTATCTATCTTTCACCCTGCAAACTAGATGAACTCATCAATCAAACAAGGCCTTTTGTAGGAGCTAAGCATTGATTCATCTTGGTTAATTAAAAAATGTTTAAAAAACAACCACCTGTAAATGCAGGAACACTCCCCAGCATAACCTATAGATCAGTATTGGTATTGGTATTGGTATTG